CCCCTTACAAGAAACATGACCTTGGGTATAAATGTGTGCACTATACATGTACATACCAAAAGACGGTATGTAAGGATTGCTTTTCCCGCCACGGCATCAACAATTATTAAAATTTCTGCTTAAGTTAGTTTGATAGGATCTACTTGTGATAGATCAATGATATTCATTACAATCAGTACATATCAGTTTGACAACTATTTTGAGGCTCTGCCCCTTATTTTAGGACATGGTCCAGTGACATTGAATCAATTAGCAATTTGCCAAATAAAGGGAGATAACCAATGAAACATACAAACTTAGACTTCTACAAATCAAACAGGTCATAGACCCCTAACCAATGAAACAAACAAACTTAGACCTCTACAAATCAAACAGGTCATAGAGATCCCTAACCAATGAAACATACAAACTTAGACTTCTACAAATCAAACAGGTCATAGAGACCCCTTACCAATGAAACAAACAAACTTAGACCTCTACAAATCAAACAGGTCATAGAGATCCTTAACCAATGAAACATACAAACTTAGACTTCTACAAATCAAACAGGTCATAGAGACCCCTAACCAATGAAACAAACAAACTTAGACTTCTACAAATCAAACAGGTCATAGAGACCCCTAACCAATGAAACATACAAACTTAGACCTCTACAAATCAAACAGGTCATAGAGATCCCTAACCAATGAAACATACAAACTTAGACTTCTACAAATCAAACAGGTCATAGAGATCCCTAACCAACGAAACAAACAAACTTAGACTTCTACAAATCAAACAGGTCATAGAGATCCCTAACTAATGAAACATACAAACTTAGACCTCTACAAATCAAACAGGCCATAGAGATCCCTAACCAATGAAACAAACAAACTTAGACTTCTACAAATCAAACAGGTCATAGAGATCCCTAACCAATGAAACAAACAAACTTAGACTTCTACAAATCAAACAGGTCATAGAGATCCCTAAACAATGAAACATACAAACTTAGACCTCTACAAATCAAACAGGTCATAGAGACCCCTAACCAATGAAACATACAAACTTAGACCTCTACAAGTCAAACAGGTCATAGAGATCCCTAACCAATGAAACAAACAAACTTAGACTTCTACAAATCAAACAGGTCATAGAGACCCCTAACCAATGAAACATACAAACTTAGACTTCTACAAGTCAAACAGGTCATAGAGATCCCTAACCAATGAAACATACAAACTTAGACTTCTACAAGTCAAATAGGTCATAGAGACCCCTAACTAATCACTTAGATAATAGAAAGGTAAAGAAATCACAAAGGGTTTTCTTTTTATTCCATGTACATGTAATCAGTCAGAGCTCAGACATAAATAAGTCTAATTATGATCTTGACTCGTAGAGGTCTAAGTCTGTATGTTTCATTGGTTCTCTCCCTTTATTTGAAAATAGAGATACATTGTTAGGCAATGCTTTGTCTTCTGAAGAAAAATATGAGTTCGATTCTAAGAAATGAGAAGAATGTTCAATCACTTTCTAATATATAATCATTTATAAAAGTTAACTCAATGTTCTCCCCAGGGCCTTGTAGCATTATGGTAATGTGATGCTACATGTATCTGAATAGACCACATTCAAGTTATGTCCTTCACCGGAAAAGTTCGTCAATTATGTGGCCTTTATGACTTCATTTACCAGATAGAGGGGATCGCCTGTATCCCTGCACTATTAAAGTTCATCAAGCGTCTTCATGATCGTCATTATGCAGGATAAAAGTAATGTTTGTTCCGTAGGTACTTACATGTAATCATTATTCCCTAATGACACCAGTACTGATTATCAATTAAAAAGTTTAGTTTGTCGAATAATTCGTGCAATACATCATTATGTTTTTTCAACCACTCGCTCAACATGGGAAGGAAGTTATGATGCCCCTAAACGCGCGAAAGATGTTCACTAAAACCAAAATTTTTTACGGAAATGCAACGAACTTGAAAGTTGTCTATTGATTTTCTTATAGATTTATGTTATGGATGTAGCTATAATTTTTAGAAACAAGATGGGTATTTCTAATTTCCCTGTTTACCAAGATGCTAAATGAAATATCTGGGGAGAACACTGTAAAATGTAACCACTAAAATGGAATAAAACTTAGACATGTAAGATGTAACAAAAAACTGTTCATTCAAATCAATACTTCAATGTAGATAGACTAGGTCCTTGTAAATTCTCAGAAAAGATTTTATCGTCATATATTGTTACCTGTAGATGAGCCTCCTCATGGGGTTTTTGATTATGTGATTACTTGGCCGTTTTTATATGACCGCAAAAATTAAAAATTTTTTGGTCGTATATTGGTATGACGTTGGCGTCGTCGTCGTCGTCCTCGTCTGGCATCGTCTGGCGTCGTCCGAAGACACATTGGTTTTCGCACTCTAACTTTAGTTTAAGTGAATGGATCTCCATGAAATTTTACCATAAGGTTCAATACCACGAAAGGAAGGTTGGGATTGATTTTGGGGGTTATGGTACCAACAGTTAAGGAATTAGGGGCCAAAAAGGGGCCAAAAATAAGCATTTTTGTAACTTCCAGACAATAACTTGTGTGTAAGTGTATGGATCTCTCTGACATTGTACCACAAGGTTCCATATCACAAAAGGAAGGCTGTAATTGATTTTGGGGGTAACTGCCTCAAAATTTTAGGAATTAGGGGCCAAAAAATGGGCAAAAAACAAGCATTTTTCTAGTTTCATGACAATAACCTGTGTGTAAGTGTTTGGATATTTCTGAAATTGTACTACAAGGTTCCATATCACAAAGGGAAAGCTGGAATTGAGTTTGGGGGTAATTGCCCGAAACGTTTAGGAATTGGGGGCCAAAAAGGGGCCAAAAATAAGCATTTTTCTAGTTTCCAGACAATAACTTGTGTTCAAGTGTATGGATCTCTCTGAAATTGTACTGCAAGGTACCATACCACAAAGGGAAGGCTGGGATTGAGTTTGGGGTGATGAATCATAAGGGGGTTCAAAAAATTTGGGGGGGGGGGGGGGGTTCTTTTTTTCCTTTTTTTTTTTCTTTTAAAATTTTCAATTTTAAGTTGGTTATTTCTGATTTATATTTAAAAGCAAATAATAATGATATGGTAGGAGATAAACACCAAACAGGATGTTTTAATTATTATATAATAAGTATTGTGCAATTGGAAGAAATTTTCAATTGCACAGTATTGCACAATAGCAAGAAATCTTCAATTGCACAGTATTGCCCAATAGCAAGAAATCTTCAATTGCACAGTATTGCGCAAAAGCAAGAAATATCCATTGGCACAATATTGCGCAATAGCAAGAAATTGTCAATTGTACAGTATTGCGCAATAGCAAGAAATATTCAATTGCACAGTATTGTGCAAAAGAAGATACTTCGTATAAATTGCTTATTTCTTGATCAATTTCAATGGGGTTTTATTCTTGAATTCTTGGGGTTCTTTAATATGATGAATCTAACCGTGTATTAAGTTTTTGGATTTTGGGCCCCGTTTTTAAATTGGTCCACATTGAGGTCCAAAGGGTCCAAAATTTAACTTTGTTTGATTTCATCAAAAATTGAATTATTGGGGTTCTTTGATATGCCGAATCTAACCGTGTATTTAGATTCTTAATTTTTGGTTCCGTTTTCAAATTGGTCTACATTAAGGTCCAAAGGGTCCAAAATTAAACTTAGTTTCATTTTAACAAAAATTGAATTTTTAGGGTTCTTTGATATGCTGAATCTAAACATGTATTTAGATTTTTGATTATGGGCCCAGTTTTCAAGTTGGTCCAAATCGGGGTCCAAAATTAAACTTTGTTTGATTTCAACAAAAATTGAATATATTGGGTTCTTTGATATGCTGAATCTAACCATGTACTTAGATTTTTTATTTTTGGGCCCCGTTATCAACTTTGTCCACATTGAGGTCAAAAGGGTCCAAAATTAAACTTTGTTTGATTTCATCAAAAATTGAATTCTTGGGGTTCTTTGATATGCTGAATCTAACCATGTATTTAGATTTTGGATATTGGACCATAATAGGTGAATGTCCAATTTAAAATTTTTAAGTTCTTAGACCACATTCATTCTGTGTCAGAAACCTATGCTGTGTCAAATATTTAATCACAATCCAAATTCAGAGCTGTATCAAGCTTGAATGTTGTGTCCATACTTGCCCCAACTGTTCAGGGTTCGACCTCTGCGGTCGTATCAAGCTGCGCCCTGCGGAGCATTTTATTATAGTGATTTTTTATTACCGTGATTACCAGACCAAATATTTCATGATTATTTCAATATTTGATTATTTGAAAATCTAGGACTGTATTTTTGATTATTTGATTATCTTGTTTAAAAAAATAATTAATGATTATGTGATTATATTGGCAAAACATTTGTGATCATGTGATTACTTGGACACTCCCATGAGGGGCCTCGTAAATGCTGTACGTACCATAAAGTCAAATAATGTGTTTTGATCCTGTTTTGTAAAGCATAAATTGACTCAAACAAGTCTGTCATTTCAAGCCCAAAATTGTAAATGCATTTTTATCATATTTATCAAAATACATGATTTGACTTCTACAAGTCGGGAATAAAAAAAGGCTTGTTTATATAAATAAGAAGATGTGGTATGAGTACCAATGAGACAACTCTCCATCCAAGTCACAATGTATCAAAAGTTAACAATTATAGGTCAAAGTACAGCCTTCAACACAGAGCCTTTGGTCACACCGAACAGCAAGCTATAAAGGGCCCCAAAATGACTAGTGTAAAATAGTTCAAACAGGAAAACCAATGCCTGATGGTCTAATCTACAAAATGTATATAAAAAACGAGAAACACCTATGAACCACACCAACAAACGACAACCACTGAACAACAGGCTCCTTATGTCTGAACTCTGACTAGTAATTATTGTTGTACCACTATGCAAGCTTGACAATACAATTAATTTTCCATAATGATGATATTTTTACGAATATGTTTTCAGCAATAAAAAATGTGTGCCTTGCCAGCCCCTCCTGCTCCACCCCCTGGAAAGAGGAAAGAGATTTATAAGTATGATGCCCCATGGACAGTATATAGCATGAACTGGAGCATTAGGCCTGATAAAAGATTTCGCTTAGCTCTTGGTAGTTTTGTGGAGGAATATAACAATAAAGTAAGACAAAAGAAAGCTATTTAAAATAGAAAAACTGTTGTGTATATCTGTACTGTTTGTTCATTGTTACATTTTTTACATGTATTAAAAATTGACATAAATTTGCCATACATATACAAATATACTTCACATGCTTCACCATTCTGCAGAATCTACAAGTCTACCAATTTTATTGCACTTAGAGAGTATTTTAAAAATATTAGTTTTCTCTGTATTGAAAAATTTGAACTGTACATGGAGATTTGTCTCATTGGCACTCATACCACATATTCCTATATCTACTCTTTGTACCCCAAAAACAATATACATTGTAGAATGAATGAGATAATATCTTAATACATGTACCACAAAAAAAAAAATCAATAGTACTTGTTAAGGTTAAAAATATCAAAATTTGGATGCTACAAGACTTTATATACGTTCATTGTGATAAACAAACAGACTGCAGATTTCTGAACCCGTCTTCAAGTATCCACATAATTCTTAAATCAATTAAATGTTAACAATATTATCATGACTGTAAAAATTAGAAAATTCAAATCAATTATCCTTATGAACATGATGAATATGGAAACTCTTTAATCCATGCTTCATAAGAGTTTTCGATACTTATTTAAAACAAATTTATGCTATTTTTGGTACTTTATTATATACTGCTAATAAGTACTGTGGATTCTTATATTTTTTTTTGTGGATTGCAGGGAAAGTGTATTTTGGTAGATATTTTATTTTATGGAATCTCCCTCATCTACAAACAGACCTAGAGAAAATTCATATTTGGTTGAATCTTTGAATTTATATTAACCCTTAACCTTTGAAAGCAAAAAAAAATTGGTAACCCCACAAATAATAATAAATCTATAGTTCTTGTACAAAAATCTGATAAATACACTTTATACATTAATCATTTGTAAAATTGTAACAAATGGTTGATTAAAAAAAATGGCAGGATTGATAATTTTGTTGTTATGTTATAGGTACAAATAGTCTCCCTTGATGAAGAAACATCTGAATTTACAGCCAAGAGTACTTTTGATCATCCATATCCTACAACCAAAATCATGTGGATTCCTGATGCAGTAAGTAATATGATAGTTTCTTTAAACAGTCAGGGGTACTACTTATACAAGAGGGGCGGAAGATACTAGAGGGACATTCAAACTCATAAATTGAAAGTAAACTGACAACACCATGGCTAAAAAAGAAAAAGACAGACAAACAATAGTACACCAAACACAAGATAGAAAACTAAAGACTAAGCAACACGAACCCCACCAAAAACTGGGGGTGATCTCAGGTGCTCTGGAAGTGTAAGCAGATCCTCCTCCACAAGTGATTTCATTACCACCTAGTTCAGTGATTTGATAAATTTAGTTATTACCTATTTATGTGATTTTGGTGTTTCCTTTGATCTTCAAATGCTAATTTCATTTATTTTCCATATTTTGACAAATTATTCTGTAATTTTCCTACTTAGATCAATTATCCCTTTCTCCTGTATATCAATTTCACCAGTGCGCTTGGGCTGTAATTTAGTGCGCTAAAGCTTTTAAAAGTACCCTTGGGAATTTTTCTGTAATAAAATATTCATTAACTACTTTTACAATCAGACAAAGGTCAACAATTTTAAGTAAACTGATTGGTCTTCTTCAGAGTTAGAATGATTTACTTCAAGGTTATGTCCTGATCTACAAATTATTCCAGTTTATGCATATTTTAAATAAACTGTTAAACTGACAGGCTCATTAAGCAAAAGATAATTTCTGCATGCATATAGTTGTTTTTAAATGGAATCCTTGTCTTTTTACCAATAAAAAATCAAGCTTGTGGGAAAAATATCAAGAAAATGAATATTATGAATTCATTGAAATTTTGTGTAAGAAAACAAATAAGAAAAGTTTGTAAGATTAGCTGTTCATTTTGTTTTAGATGCATTGTATTAGATAACCTTTACATTTCATTATCTATCTGTATTTTATTTTTAGAAAGGGGTTTTCCCAGATCTGCTAGCTACCAGTGGTGATTACCTAAGGGTATGGAGAGTGAGTGATAATGATACAAGATTAGAATGTCTCTTAAACAATGTAAGTAATTTACCTATATATAATTGCTTGAATCCATGGTATTTAGACTCTGTTGGATAGTTGTCTCATTGGCAAATGGCAATCATACCAAATCTCTTTTACTTCTTACTTTATTTGAAATTTTTTCATTTTTTTTATTCAAATGTCACTGATTAGTCTTTTTTAGATGAAACACGCATCTGTTGTTTAAAGTTTTAATCCTAGAATCTATGATGAGTTATTAGTTTAAACATAATAAAATCATAAATATACACTACAGTACATGAAGATTAGCTTTTTTGATCCATCCACAGTGGATTGTCTGCACATGTGCATTGAGTTTTAATTTCTAATTTTATAAAGGTAATTTGGTAAGCCATTTCTTCCCTTAAGAATTAATGATACATTAAAATACAAGACTTGGTGAACATTTAAAGAAAGTCAAATTGTCATCATTTGAAAAATGACATATTGAACAAGAATCAATGTAAGAATCTGTTTTTCTTTATACATTTTTATGTGTTTTTTTTTTCAATGGACTACTTCAGGAAATAACAAAAGCAATCTTTGTTCTTGATGTAATCAACAGAAATTTTAGACAGTATGAACATGATAAAAAGAAAAGATTATTATTGGTTGATAAACAATAAAATTGTGTTCTGGCTGCGATATCTGCTAGACTGTATGTCTATACTGCATTCTTTTCCTATTTATTTTGCTTTAAATTGACCCTGCAATAATTTTTTCTTGGCTGTATTTTTTTTTTTTTTCAGAATAAAAACTCAGACTTTTGTGCACCATTGACATCATTTGACTGGAATGAAGTTGATCCAAACCTTCTTGGAACATCAAGTATAGACACAACATGTACAATTTGGGGACTTGAGGTTGGTATAAAGAGATGGACTTTTTTGGCTCATACAAATTTTAAAAAAAATTGATTGACATATTTCTAGGCAATGATTAAAAGTTTATTACAATATAACTTATATCAAGTTATGATATATCACTAAACATCTGTTTATTTCAATGCTTTGAATGAAGACATAATAACAACATCTTCTCTTAATATAATCGATAAAATGATTTTTTTACCTTCACTCATATTAATGTAAGCAAAGGAGCCTCTAGCCTTTGTTAGTCTTGTATTATTTTTAATTTTAGTTTCTTGTGTACAATTTGGAGTTTAGTATGGCGTTCATTATCACTGAACTAGTATATATTTTTGTTTAGGGGCCAGCTGAAGGACGCCTCCAGGTGCGGGAATTTTTCGCTGCATTGAAGACCTGTTGGTGACCTTCTGCTGTTGTCTGTTCTATGGTTGGGTTGTTGTCTCTTTGACACATTCCCCATTTACATTCTCAATTTTAATGAACTTGTTTCATTACCAGTATAGATGGGTTTTTCACTCATTTCTATTAACTTTGTATATTAAACTTACCTCATTTTTGGTTGTCTGATTCCAATTGAATTCTATCAAAGTTTAATGAAAAGTTAAACTTGGAGTTCTACATGTTTGTTAAACAACAACAAAAAGCAAAATTTTGATGACCTCAATGAGGCAGATGATTTGTAAGAAGTATTTTACTTTTAATTTTGCTAAAAGAAACTATAAGGAAAAAATATTGTTTCATTTCAGACTGGCCAGGTCTTGGGACGAGTCAATTTGGTATCTGGTCATGTAAAGACACAGCTGATAGCACATGATAAAGAGGTGTATGATATCGCTTTCAGTCGGGCAGGAGGTGGCAGAGATATGTTTGCCAGTGTTGGTAAGGGCACATTCACATCACATTTAAACCTTAGAAAAATCATCTGATTACAGTTTGAAATAATTAGATTGAACCTATTTGCCACTTGTATTCAAAATTCTGAATAACACAAGTTGGCCTTGTCCATGGTCAATTGATAATTTTATATCAAACTTAATAAGATATTTAAAATTCATTTAGGGACACACAAAAAAAATCATTAAATAGATTGAATGGCAAAATAGTCAAAAGCACCACTATATGTTTACCAATTTAACTTTAAGTGGCACTCCATTTTTCCCTTTTGACAAGCTGTTTACAGAACTTTTCAGGTGTTGAAACCAACATTGTTCAGTAGGGACTTAGGTAAATTGTAGAGGCAATTTTTGAATTTCTTTGACACTTTTACACATTACAAAAAGCTACCACCCATATTTCAGATTTCAAAGTGTCTTCCCTAGGTTTCATGTCTGTTTTTATTGAACAGCCCTGAGTAATATTAACATGATATATTTCAACATCAGACAATTATTTGCTTGTTAAATTAAAATGACCAGTCACAAGATTGATTAATTCATTGATGATATTTGTTGTAATAACATTAACAGTACCAATTTTATCTCACCAGAAAGTAATTTTAAGGATGTTCGCTACTCTGTTTCAAAAGCTTTTTGAAAGACTGTTATAAATGGATAGTATATAAATGAAGGAACTGAAAAAGCAGAAAAAAATGAAGGGTCCATGTGCTTGTTTTCGAGATATAAGCCATTGAAAATTTGGCGGGAAATGATTCTCTCTAGATTTTTCATACATTTAACATTGGCACCTTTTTTCTTTCAAAAAACATTGAAAAAGTAACAAGGATTTTATAATTTTTTCAAATATGGCTTTTTAAACTATATGTAATAAAATCATGAAAAGAAAAGTAGGGGTTGGTGGACAAAATTTCTTAATGGAAAAACATGGATAAAACCAGAGGATTCCGAATATATTATCTGACAAAAAATCAAAAACAAGAGGAGCAAACATCCTTAACAAATGTTGTGTTTTTTAGACTGTTGTTTGTCTTTTGGTCGTTTTTTTTTCTCAATTTTTGGTAAAACATTGTCAAATTATCTTTGACTTATGGATTTGAATATCCCTTTGATATATTCTTCCGCTCTTTTATAAGATACTACCATTAGAAAAAGAATTTTATTACGACTATTTGTGGAATCTTTCAGGTGCAGACGGTTCAGTTCGAATGTTTGACCTTCGACATCTAGAACATTCTACAATTATCTATGAAGACCCACAGCACCATCCATTACTAAGACTTGGGTGGAACAAACAAGATCCTAACTACCTTGCAACCATGGCAATGGACGCATTAGAGGTAACCATGGCAACTTATTTTTATGGTTGTGGAAATCTTGTTCAATTTCTTTTTTTTTACGCAAAACAATTCCTGAGACATTTATGATTATTAGTTTTTTAGCATATCTGATTTCTACTTTAATTGACGAAATGTTTGCATTCTAAAAGTAACAGCATTTCTAGATCTTTTTCAAGAAGTTTTTTTTTAACCAACACCCATTTCAGAAGAGACTCTTTGCTTTAAGATTATGCGAAGGCCAGAAACAGTAAAGATGGAAAAATGAAAATGTTGCCCTGAACAAATTGTATATCACTGAACCTATTTTATGATTTTCATGAAACTTTGTATATAAATGTAAATGGCATTAACATGTTATCGTCCTAAATATGCCAGTTATAGTTGCCTTTCAAATTAAGCATCCGTCAACCAGTTCTCTGTTAAAATTTAAAATATGAGCTACGTCGGATAGACATCAATCTTATGCAAGTGCACATATAGGCAACCGTACAACTGGCAAATAACTTTGATTGATATTAGAACATTCAAATACAAAATAAAAGATCAATTTTGGTATGTTGTGTAGGGCTCTTATATCATCTCAATTTTCAAACAGTTTCAGACTTTGCATAGAAATTTTTCAACCCAAAATAATATAACAGATGTATTGATATTCATTTGCATAAGGTCAATTTCTGTCCGACACAGCATATATAATAATTTGAACTATAATGTTTTACTGATATATTAGGTGGTGATTTTGGATGTGAGGGTACCTTGTACACCAGTAGCTAGATTGAACAACCATAGAGCATGTGTCAACAGTATTGCCTGGGCTCCACATTCTAGTTGTCATATTTGTACAGCAGGTAAGAGTTAATATAATTGAGCATGTCTTCTATGAGAAGTAATAGAAGATATGCTCAATTATAACATGGAAGGATTAAATTTTCACTATTCTTAATTAAATACTGAAAAAAATATTGTTTGTATATGTAAAACAGCTATTATACCTTTTTTAATGGAGAAGGGATTTCATTGGCAGCTATTTGTGGAAAGATAATGATATTTGGTATACAGTTGTTCTAGCATTTCCATAGAGTTTGTTTGGCCCGTCCCCACAGTTAATGATAATTAACTACATGTTAGAGTTTGGCAATTTATATTTCAACATTTGCATTATACCATCCAAGTTACATACAGATATTAAATATCTGTGCGACAACAGTTTATTTCTAAATCAAATTGTGTATATTGTTCATCCTTGTTAAATCTCTTCTTCTTCCCAATACTTGGAATATGAAAGAACAAATTTAAAATCAATTTACAATATATATAGGTTAATGTATGATAAACAGAATAACTGTCTCTGTTCAAACTTGGTGAAGTAAACAAAAAGGTTGATTCATGCACTTCTTGGCTGCATGAAGCGTTTAAATCCACCTAAGGGCTATTCCATTAAGATGTATGTGGGAGGGTAGGAAGGGAAGTTTAATAATTGAATGTGGGTCATGGGTCTTTTTTCAGTATGCGTCTATTACCATTATGCAAAATTATCTAAAAAATGGTTCTTGGTTGTAGGGATATTTTGAAAGTCCCTTCCTACCCTCCCACACACATTTTAATGGAAAAGCCCTAAGAAATGAAGTAACTTATTTAATTTTCATTTATAGCTGATGACCATCAAGCATTGATTTGGGATATACAGTCCATGCCGAGGGCAATAGAGGATCCTATCTTGGCCTATACAGCAGCAGGGGAGATAAATCAGATACAGTGGTCATCAACACAGCCAGATTGGATCGCCATATGTTATAACAATAGTCTTGAGATTCTGAGAGTGTAATATATTATCAGAATGTTCCATGTAAAACCATATTGAATTAGTAAACATTTATTTGTCAGAGGTATCTCCTTTTACCAAGTTTCTAAGGGGACTCATTTAAAAAAAAGTTTCCTTTTTCTGCTTAGAAAAATGGAATTTATGGATTATCTCCCTTTGGTAATTTGGTTAAGGAAAGACATCTTCCAATAGTAATTTACATGTTTGTATTTAAGGAATACAATTGAATTATATGTAATTTTACTGATAATACTTTTACGTTTCAGACAAAAAACATGGTTTGAATTATCTACCCTTGATCATGTAAAAGGCCAAATAGATAGCTATTTTGTAATCTCCCTTGCATATTTATTATTTCAATTTCATTTCTGGATAAAGAGGATTTTACCCCTTCAGTGTTTCAGGTTCCTATGGATTCATTTTATATTGTTCCTGATATACCAGATTTTTATTACTTACATAAAAAGAGGTAGACATTCAAGAGATTTAAATATTAAACAAGATTTGGATTTTTTATAATTGTATTTTTTTGTTAGTTTAAACCATCAAGTAAAAAAACTGACTATTGTCATTACAAATGTTTTCCAAATCACAAAAAACTATGTCCTGAAAATACATGACAAATTATAACAAAATTAAAACTTTGTCAGAATTTTTAAGCATCTGATGTATTAAAAACATATCTTGTTGGTAATCATATGTGCATTCATTCATATATTGAATTTTATCCCAATTATTTTGACAAAAATTTTGAAATTTTATTTGTTTTTCATTCCAGTCACACAAACAATGTATATAGGCTTATTTATATTTCAGCGAAATGTTGGTTTTTTACTTTAACAAAGGACATAAACTGCCGTTCCCCTTTTGTAAACTCATTTTCCTCATAAAAATGTAAAAAACATGCCAATCATTCATGTCTTTTGTATATATGCATTTTATTTGAAATTTAATTTCCTGTTATATAGCTGCCAATATTTTCAGTGAACCCTGACATATTATGTATAAAAAAATTGTCAAATGTTTTAGCCTTAAAACATGTAAAAGGATAATGTTTACTCTTGAAATTACAAATGTATAATTGCTCAGATAGGGACCTCTTGTTAAAGGTGAGTTTATCCTATTTAAAAATAAAATAGTTTACCTGATCCACAGGAATAATTTTGGTTTCAAGAAATTTAAGGATTTTTAAATATCTCCCGATCTGTTATGATTTGAAAATAATTAAAAGCTTACAAAAAGTGTATAATGTAGAGCAGTCTTTGACATGAAGTGTTTATTTAAACATTTAGATAGTAAGATAGTATTCTAGTAAGTAGCTGTATATAATTTTTTATTATTAAATGTCATTATGGTTTAAGTACTATTTATATATGTTTGCTTCTAATTACTTGTGAAACGTCTTTGAAAATACAAAAAATACCAGAAAATTTGCCTGAATAAGTAAAATTTGCATCACAAAAATGCTGCCTTTAAGATTTGGCAGCAGACGGGCATTTCTTACTTGACTTTGGGGTCATAAGGGACAAAAAGTTGTGAAGTATAAAATCAGTTTACCGCCATTGAACTGTCAGAGCCTTGGTTAGTGTATTTTGTTTTACTTACTTAATTTAACAGGGTGGCCTCATTTTGATACAATTTAGCCTCATTTTCATTCTGTTTACTGTGTGAAAATTCTTTCAATCATGGATTTAAGTTTTTTATGCATTTTTCATTTTTTCAAACACTAAGCAGAACAGTTACCAATACAAAAATATGCTTTATGATTTTATAAAATTTTTATTAACTATGAAATCCACAAAGAAATATTTTTTCACATTTTCTTTTCATAACATGAAAATTTATACCCGGTATCTGAAATATCTAGTTTCCTTTTTTTCAGGATTTGTATGTTTATAGTATGTCTTATATGTGTTTGCTTTTGGCATTACCAAATTATGTCTTTTAGTTTTATGTCTTGAATAAATATTACTTGTCATTATAGAGTTTTCATTTTATGATATTTTTTAAAGTTGATATTGTCACAGAGCAGTTCATAAAGACATACATGGTTGAGGGTCTAGATGGGGCTTACAGAATAGAGAATAATGGTAAAAAGTGAAAAATTAAGGGCCAAAATTTAAAAAAAAAGAATAGAGAAAAATGGACGAAAAAAAGAACAGAGAATTATGAGAAATATAAATGAAGAATTGAGAAGAATGGCCTAAAAAATTAAAGAAAAAAGAAATGAAGGACCCACCCCCCATGTTTTATAAAACTGAGAAAAAAAACCAAATGTGCTTGTTTTAAAAAAGAAAACTACAAAAACAACATATAATGCTATTTGATATGCATGTACACAAGGTATACACACATTTAAAACATCCACATGTATATCCTATGGGACAATTATATTGATTAACCGATGTTTAATGCCACTTTCAACACTTTTGATTATATACAGTAGTGGAGGAAGCTGGAGTATTGGAGAGAACAACCAACGTTTGTCAGCAAAACCTGCAATCCTAGTTAAGTAAGATTTAAGTCAAACACTCCTTTCACGGGCAGGGTTGGAACCGACAACCTCATTGTTGAAGGCTTGTGATAACTGTAGATTTAAATTCTTTGACTTACTTGGAAAAATTAAGAAATGGCAACAACAGTTCTGATTTGATACATGAGCAGTTTAGATACATGTATTAATCACCCAGGTTTATAAGTTATGTTTGAGGAAATGCATTAACTGATTGAGATGCAAACAGGTAGGGTTGAGATCTCAAAAATCGGTTGACCCCACCATATGTTCTTGAACCTGTGAAAAAAAAACTTCAACTGTCTTCTTGTATCTTACTGAGTTTTTCTAATTTAGGAAATTTTTGGCAGATTGTTCATTCTCCCAAAGTACCAGTGTGAGTTTTTCTCATCACTTGGCATCTGTTGTCACATCCTTTTTTATTAAAATATAAAAATAGGGTAAATAATCCTCATTTAAGGGCAATAACTTATGTATGGAGTTGACTGAAAGTTTCGGCTATATTAACTTTCAATAATTTTAGCTATTAACAGTTTTTCTATATCTATACAATAGTTTTTGCCAAAAATGTGAAATTGGGGAAAACAAATCACCATTAAAGGGCTATAACTCATATAAGGGGTTGTCTTATATTTTCAGCTAATATTTGATCCTTTCATAGATCTTTGATGTCCACAGTTTCTCTGAAACTACTGAAGTATTTGCCCAAAATGAATATTTATAGATTTTGTCTTTTTGATTATTTTTCTCTTTTAAGATAGCTTTCAAGATGATGGGCAAAAACTAAGAACAATTGTAAAAATGGTCATTTAAGGGCAAGAACTCCTTTACTCCTGTAAGGAGTTCTCATACAATTTGGGTCAAAATAGACACAGAAGTAAATCTCTCCATTTTGACCAGATTACACCACTGGGCAGAAAAACAGATAGCTGGTTTCTTGTACAGTGACAAATATTACATCCAATTACAGGATTTATCCCCAGAAGAATAGGTCTGTTATAGTATTAATATAACACCTGGTCAGAACGGAGATGTTGACTTCAGTGCAGAGTTTTTTTGTTGTTTATTTTTGGGGGCAAGGTGGAGGACGTAACTTTCTTCTTATGTAAATGAACCCTCTGAAAAAAATTTTTGAGGGGACCGTGGGTGAACTTTTGAGCCTCCTCATGGGGATTTTGATTATGTTATTACTTTGCCGTTTTTATAGTGATTATTTGATTACCAGACCAAATATTTCATGATTATTTGATAATCTAGGACTGTATTTTTGATTATTTGATTATCTTGTTAAAAAAAAATTAATGATTATGTGATTATATTGGCAAACAAAATGTGATTACTTTGACACCCCCATGAAGAGCCGCCTCACTTTTACAATGCAAAATTTCTACCTGATTACAGCATACACACATTTCTAACTTTCTGTCCTCATCTCGTATATGTACTTTGCAGAACCTGCCTGATTGATTTATAGTTTAAATTACTCTTTTCATACGGATATGGATGAAATATTTGCCACTGGAAGTTCTGTTCAAGAAAGGCTCGTTGATTCCTGACAGGTTGACACCGTGTGATGAAAATTACATACACACTGCAAAAAGTAAACAGATGTACCTTGTTGTAAACTTCTTAATTCACGGCACTAAAGAAATGCATACACATTTAGTCTTAGATGCATGATTTTTTTTATTAGTTGTTAGTGGCTTTGAACTAGCTGTCAGTAACTACGAGTACTCTCAGATCTGTACTTAGTGTCTTTTTGTTGCTTGGATGTACAAGTGCCCGGCCACGTTCACTTGTGTTTGTAGTATTTGTATTTTTATCCATCTGATGAGTAAAGCCTCTTTCAACTGATTTTTATAGTTCGTTCTTATGTTGTACTGTTACACCACTGTCCCAGGTTAGGGGAGGGTTGGGATGCCGCTAACATGTTTAACCCCGCCACATTCTGTATGTATGTGCCTGTCCCAAGTCAGGAGCCTGTAATTCAGTGGTTGTCGTTTGTTTATGTGTTACATATTTGTTATCCATCATTTTTTTACATAAATAAGGCCGTTAGTTTTCTCGTTGGAATTGTTTTACATTGTCATTTCGGGGCCTTTTATAGCTGACTGTGCGGTATGGGCTTTGTTCATTGTTGAAGGCCGTACGGTGACCTATAGTTGTTAATTTCTGTGTCATTTGGTCTCTTGTGGAGAGTTGTCTCATTGGCAATCATACCACATCTTCTTTTTTATATATATCATCTACTTTTTCTGTGTTAATTTACGTGTGGGTATCTGCGACAATACATTCCTTGCATTGGTGTAATGGCGATCATACTTCTTTCTAAGTAATAGCTTCAGTTTTATTGTTCGCCTGCTACTCTTTGTGTTTTAAGTTTCAAACAACTAATATCATCTACAAAAGAGAAGGTACATGTAGGCCCAAAGATAAAGTTTTTTTAATTAACACATCTAAAATTAAAAACAATCATGTATACATTGTACGCACTTTCTGAATGTTTATCGTACAGTGACAAATATTACAGCAACAGTAAGGATTAATCCAAAGAAGGGTAGGTCTGTTATAGTTGTGACAATATATGCCTGTAGGCAGATTAGAAAAAAACAATCTTTAACTTGGCTTGATGGTGATCATACTACTTTCGAAGTAATTGTTTCAATTTTAGCAGACGCCTGCTACTCTATTAAAAACTTAAAACAACCTATTCCATCTCCAAAATCGTTAGTTTACGTCTCAAGGATAGAATTTCTTATAGTCACAAATCTGATATTAAAACCACATCATTCTTTGTGCGGACAAAACAAATTATTTAAAAAACAGCAGCTCAGCACAGTTCAAGTTCCTATTTATCTGATTGGGTTAATAAATCAGTAATTGATTAATCAAACTTAACTCAAAGAGCTTTGAGAATACGTGTAAGTGTAAATACTGTCATCACACTATTTGTTGTGTTTAGTAATTACCTAATATATATCTAATAATAATGAAAGAAAAAAAGGAAAGCGTATATACATGTTTCAAGGATTAAAAAGTTGACCGTGGTCATGTCAAGTTTCCTTTCTACCTAGAAAATAAATTCTCATTTCCGCTTTATTTACATTGGAAGCCGGGGCGTTCAATTTCGCAAAAAGGTGGAAACGCGAAATCAAATTCAGTTTTCGAATTCATTTTGCAATTTTGCGTTTTCGCTTTCCCTTTTTCGCCTTTGGAATACAAAGGCAATAACGCGAAAACGCGAATTTCGAATTGGCCGCAAACGGCTTCATCTTATATGTTTTTAATTTGAAATCAATCCTTGGAGAAATGACGAAATATACCCAATGTAACGGCCGTCATGTCATCACTTTTTAAATATTAATCAAACATATGATTACAACTTCTAGAATATGACCCAGTTTAGAAATAAATCCTTCAAGAAATAAAATTGCATTTTTCACTGATCCACATGACCAAAGTAAAGTTGTTGGTAGTTAAGTCAAATTTAACCCATCAAAATATTTAATACTATATTAAATTCCTAGAAAAATAAGGTGTCTTGGTAGGGGGATATTGCAAAATCCAACTGAATGTGTCGGCCATGAACAAACAAGCGTATACTAGTATTCGTGTTTCATTAACATGTTATTGTCCTTCGTTTAATATTTGCCACTGGACGCTACGCAGCCATCAATTATTCAATGAACCGAATAAGTCCTTGATGTTTGTATGAGCAACACTTGTTTTTGTGGTAAAAGGGTAGAAAAAGGGCGGCGAAAAACACCAAAGGGACATTCAAACTCATAAGTCGAAAATAAACTGACAACGCCATGGCTAAAAAAGAAAAAGACAAACAGACAAACAATAGTACATAAAACACAACATATAAAACTAAAGACTGAGCAACACGAACCCCACCAAAAACTGGGGGTGATCTCAGGTGCTCCGAGATAGAACAAACAGGGTTTCAACTACATGCAATTAAAGTGATACGCGTTTTCATGAATCACTCAATCTTAGATAATCAACAGAAAAAAATAAAATACTTTTTTCTATTTTTATTTTTTTTATTTATCAGTCAGAAACATGACAGGTTAGTGGATAACGCGAAGTTATATCAATGGATTTACTTTTAGAATTTAAGATCTATTTTTCTATTTATATTATCAATACCTTAATTATCATGGAACATCATAGTTTTATTATTTTTTTATCACAGTCAAATGAGCCAGATGCATTGATACACATACAAAAGAAAAACTAGAGCGTGAAGTGGACATAATGAAAGTTACCAGTTATATTGTCCTGGGAAGACAAATCACAACCGTATCACACAACAAATAACCATATCTCAGTCAAAATTATTTTGTCATCAATTTCTTTAAAATAAATAGCAGGCCAAGAAGTCATATCTAGGTCATCTTTAAACTACTAATGTTGACTAAGTTAGGATCAAGTATCAATTTTTGTCGTGTTTGCACCAC